CTATACTGCCAGTCCTTAGAAAAGAAAGTGAAAATACATGTGCAGCTATCTCAATGGAGCAACATTATCCAAACAGCAGCTTGCCATACTTGTAAATGTCTGGAAGCTCATGGGCACCACTTTGAGCATCTCTTGTAATTATAAAGGCCAAAGGTAACTTGTACTTGTATTAATCTCATGACATCTCAATAAATTTGGTATTAAAATACATGAGCTTTTCTTTTCCTGAAGTGTGTATACATTTTTTTGTCAAACTGTGTGTGTGTGTGTGTGTGTGTGTGTGTGTCTGGCCTGGCAATAAACAACTTTTAAAAATTTGTCTTTCTTCTAGCATACAGTTCTGACTATGCCCTCTGCTACTGTGAACTAAAAATTGGGCTGTCATAAAAAAAAAAAAATTCCCACATTCATAGGTTTTCTCATTGTTTCTTGCCTTTTCAGAGAGAGAACTATCATCAAAAATTGACACAGTTCCCCCTTTGGGAAGAACAGTATTTTTAGCATCATGCATAGATAGAATTACATATTTAGGATTGCAAAGATCCTTAAAGGTAACACAGATTTCTTTCTTTCTTTTTTTTCCCCCAGAACTGGGGATCAAACTCAGGACCTTGCACTTGGGAGGCTGGCAGGGTGCACTGGTCCTCACAGTTAGATTTCTAACTACATCCATGGTCCTTATAGTTAGATTTCTAACTATGTGTTTGAATATTTAAAATTGGAATGGCAAAGAACTATACATGTACTCCTTGCTTGTGACTCTTGTTGCCAGTGGCAGGCATGGGTAACAGATCTCAGAGCTCCTTGCATTCAATATGAACTCAGCCTCAGAATCCTCTTCCATTTACTCTCTAGCTAGCTAGTAGCAATAGGCCAAGAATTGCATTCAAGATGGAACCATTTACATCCTTGCCAAGTGTTCATCAATGTATTACTCTAACATCTGCAGTGAGAGTGAAAGCATTGCTTTGCCAAACCTGCCCATTCTATCTCTAAATAGTTCCATCAGTTAGAAAGTTCTTCCTTAGATGGGACTGAAATATGTGTCCCTGTATGTAGCTTCCAACCACTGGTCCTAATCCTACTTCATGAGATCACTCATAATAAGATCAAATATGTTTCTATAAATAATTTTTCTAGTATTTGAAGACAAGTCTCTTTGGCTCAAATCTTTTCTTAAGGCTAGTAAAAACAGTCTGAGCTTCTCTAATCATTCCCTATATTATTCCACAATTTTGGTGATTCTCTGAGTTTTCCTCATTGTCGGAGGCATGGATTCACAAAAATTTGCTCTGAAAAGGCTAGCACAGACAGCTTCTTTACACTAGTGGCACACTGACCTACAACATACCACTGAGCTCCACAACACCTGACAAAGCAGGGGCAGGCTTCTATCCATCACAGACTTGGTTAACTAACACTAGAAAGTTTTCCAGATTGTTTTGCAGTGTCTTTGAGATTATAGTTGTGCTTTATATTTAGTGACCCCAAGAACCTCATGGGCTCACAAGTGAGGCATCTTAGAGGTGAATGGACCATAGGACTTCTATATCTAAACATGATGTTAGAGATGGGGCCTGGTCAGAAGAGGCAGGTTAGTGGAGGTGTGATCTGGTAGGGTATATCTCTCTCCCTAGTTCCTTTCCTCACTCTCTGCTTCTTGGCTGCCATGATGTGAGCAACCTTTCCTCTGAAATGCCCATCTGGCATGCTGTTCTGCCTTGGAGCCAGCCGACTAAAACTGTGAGCCAAAATAAACTTCTCTTTCATTAAGTTGCCAGTGTTGGGTACTGTGTCCCAGTGACAAGAAAAGAGACTAAGACAACCATGCAGACCAAATTTAAATCTACTGCCATAAATAATTCTCCTAAAGCTGGACTAGCTCTCTAATTACTCTATGTCAGAACCTAGGTTCTGGCCACATTTCCTGGAGTTTTTGAAGACTACAGCTATCTCCTAAGGGACCAAGTGTCCTCCCTGCTCCTCCAGACAACTTCCTGGACTACTTCCATTGATACTTCCACTCTCACCCTATGGTCCGAGATAAAAAATAGTCCTCCAAGAACTCTCTGTTTCTCAACACAGTAGCTAAAACATAAACCATATCATACCATTCTTCTTTCCAAATCTTGCACCACTTTGCATTTCATTCAGAAAAACAAAGACAAAACACAAAATTACCAGAATAGTCTTCCAGGTCTCATTTTATGGTATCTACTGACCTTCTTCCTTCCCTCAATCATCTTTGCCCACCCCAATGCTCCTTCCTCCCTTGCTCACCTGGCTCTAGCTGCTCTCGTCTCCTTCTCTAACATATCTGGCATCCTCCTGCCACAAGACTTCTTCAGTGGTTTTTCTTACTCTGGTATCAGAAGGGTTAACTCCCTCATCTTCTTAACTTTACTAAACACTGACCAGACTATGTGTAACTCTATAAATTTCTCCTACCACATCCTCACTGACACTCTCAAATCCCCTTAGTCTGGTCTATTTTTATTTTCCATACACTTACCATGTTCTAACACACTAGAATACTAGATCTTTTTCTTATTTACTATGCTTACTGCTTGCTGTTTGTCCCTCCTGCTAGACTATGAGCCCCAGGAGAGAGCATGGATATTTGCTCACTGATGTAGCCCAAGTACTGAGAGCAATGGCTGCCACACAACAGTCTGATGAAGATATACTCAGTGCTGATAGACCTCCAGCAAGCTTGAAAATGATACACTTCATCTCAATGGTCTCTGCCTCAAATACAAGTCATCCAGCCAGTCATTTTTTCTTGTACTTTTGTCCTGCCACCACTTTGTGCTTTCTCTTCCCTGATCCAATGTCCTGTTTCTTCCTTCCACCCATGTCCCACTGTGTGTTTTCAAACCTGTTTGTGGTTATTAAGCATCCCTACGTTCTCAGACCTTGTGGTCAGTCTTCTCTTCTTATCTCTTCTTTAACTGAAATTGGGCTCTCTACTGAGGGCCCCTCCTGCCTGTCAAGCCTTTCACACTCCATATCCTTCAGGGTCTGGAGGTGGGGCTGATGTTCTCTTGCTTTCTTTGTTGTTTCCTCACTGTTATTCTTCTACCCTTAAGTGAAAAGCTCTAGTCATGAGAAGTGGACACTGGCCTATGCTCTTCCTTGAACCTGCCCCCCACTGACTGCTAGGTGACAGTCCTGTTTACCCCAGGCACTCAGTTCATTACCTAACTCAGCCACACTGACTTTCACCTACATCTGTACTATTTCAGCCCCTCACACTCAAGGCTAAATCTAGACCATGTTATCACCAAGACCTGTACTGGGTTTAAAATTGGAGTCTAAAAACACTGCTCTGTAATCACAATGTTCTTTTTTACTTCCTCTACGTTGATTCTTCGATCTCAAAATCTCCCTTTTCCCATCTTTTCTGCATTTTCCTTTTCTAACAGTCTCTTAGCATTCATTTTTTTCTTGACTCAGCTGACCAAGGGCCATCACTTTCTGGACCACAGTCACTTTATTTATTTATTTATTTATCTATTTATCTATCTATTTATTTATTTATTTATTTATTTATTTATTTTATTTTTTATTTTTTTTGTACTGGGGATCAAACTCGGGACATTGTGCTTGCGAGGCAGGTGGAGGAACCACTGAGCTAAATCCCCGGCCCCACAGTCACTGTAACCTTCACAGATTTTAAACTAGTTCACAAAGTACACAGTATAAATAAATTTGAAATAGTGAAAAAAACAAACAAAAAACCCCCAAAACCTCAAACCCTAGAAAACAAACCAATAAACCAATGTCTTATTTTATGTAGTAAGAGGAATAGGTAAACTCCTTAAATTTAAAAAATTGTCAGGAATAAATAATGTGAAAGATGGAGGATCAGTGAATTGTAATTAGTTTTTACACTGTTACCATACTGTGGTGCCACTGGCTGACCAACAGAAACACCCCAGAACTGTGTTAATTTCACTACTGTTTATGGGTAGTAGAACTTCTGTACATGATTAGGATGACTAATGTGCTGTTATTTTACAAACTGTGTTATAACTCAAAATATTTTTATATCTTACAATAATATCTCTCAAGCATCCATTAGGCAGTGGGTTTAGTGATAGTGCTGAAAAACACAGCCCCAAACAACAGCTGTGGAACACAAGTTGGTTATGATAAAATGCAATGAAAAAGGACAAACATCCAGTGTGAGAGCCTGTGTTGTTAATTTAGGACAAAGCAATGTTAAAAATTAGACCTAATGAAGGACAAACAGAAAAAGAAGTATTAAAGTAAAACTATGCCACAATGCTATACATTCATGCATCCTCTAAAATATTTCCTTTACATCTTTCCCTATGGGATAATTAGTTTTGAAGTATGAATTGTAAATGATGAGATCATTTTTGGAACATATCTACCACACAAATGTGAGTATCTTCTTAAAGTTCAGCACCTCCCCTACCTTTTCCAAAAAATGCTTCTCCTTACACTGTTATGTCACAGGCATACAGTAAATAATATAGCAATCAGGATCAAGGGCTTTGGAGCCAGATTTCTTGCATCTGATCCTCCAGTTCAACCATTTTTCTAGTTATATGGCTTCAGGGAAGTTTCTTAACCTCTCTCTACTTCGTTTTCCTAACCAGAAAATTTCAGATGACAACAGTACCTATTTTAAAGAGTCCTTGTGAGGACAGAATGATCACCATTCTGTGAAGGCTAGACCTTCCCATCAACCCTTGATGATACTTGTAAGACTGAATTTATTTCACTGAGTTAAAAAAATAATGTGACTCTTTGTTGACAGAATATGAATTACTACAGGATATGCAGAAATATGAAGATTTTGCTGTTTACATCTGAAAAGCTGCAGAAACCTTCACCACATACATAGAGAGCTTTTCTAGTACAAGTTCTGGGTATGCAGAATGATTCCAAACACAGCCTGTGTAGACACTGATATTTGTGTCAGATGAGTCAGCAGTATGTGTTAGGGGATGTTTCTTTAACCATCTTACCTTTAGTCTGTCTTTGGGCAGTGCAACAACCCCTTGTTTAATAATTTCCAAGACTCGTTCCACTGACAGCTCAGCACCAGCTTGTAGCAACCTTGCGCTAAAGAAGGTGATCACCTGTAATATAAAGAGTTATTTTTAAACAAGGTATAGGATGTATTTTTAGCAGATGCCTTTGTCATATGGTGGTCAAACCATCGTAATTCCCTTTCTAAAGTGACATGGCTTTTACTTTTCCTATCTTCCTAAATGTAGTCCTCTCTTTACAGGGTTTGATGGTTAAATGAGAGGCAAGCCCAGATATTCAGGGGTGAACATTCATTCACTCTGTGAATTAAGTGGCTTTCAGAATTCTGCTCTTTGTTGTGCTGCCCCACCTTGCATTTATATTTCATTTAGAAAGCCACCAGCAAAAGGTGGGGAATAAAAGCTAAATCTTAGAACCTGTCAGTTTTGAATCTTAGTAAGAGGTTTAGAAAAAAGGCTTAATAGGAAAAGAACTTTCAGTTAATGGCTAAAATGATGTTTTTGGGATTATATATGAATTTATTTATCCACATCATCCTTATCCCTGGTCACCAGGGATAATCAACAGCAAGGTACAATTACTTTTTTTCATGTCAGAGCACAGCCTGAACTATGCTGCAAGATACTTAACACAACAGCATTCTAGAAATAGAGCTTAAATATTTGTTACTAAAAACTAAAACAGGAGTGGGAGATGTAACTCAGTGGCAGAGTATTTGTCCAGTATGTGTGAGACTCTGGATTTAATCCCCATATTGAGAAAAAACCAAAAATGAAATAAACAAAATTGTCATACTTAAAAACATAGAGAATTTTTTTTCTAAATTTGAACTTTCCCTTTACATATTTTTTGTTTTATAGGTAAAATACATAATTTTTTGTGGTAATTTCAATGTTTTCTTTTAAATTATCTCCTAAATATTAATGAGATCAGGTACAGTGAACACTTTTAGTGGAAAGTACACTGTTCTACACAAATGCCACTGTAATTTGTTCTGGAAAGTGGAGCTGCTCTGCTAAAAAATGGTTAAAGAGTAGAAGCATATCTGTTCGAAACACATCCTAACAAATGAAAAGGTATGAGGCAGTAGGTAGATGCTTGAGACTTACAGTTTTCTACTATCTACTGAAAGCAGACATTAGATATTGGATCTCTTTAGATCACAGTTGTAGATAAGGTAGTTAAAAGAGTAGTTCTCAGACATGGCTGACCATAAACAGTAGCTGGAAAGCCTTGTGAAATACTAATCCTAGGCCTCAGAAACCTTCTACATTGTTCTCTTCATGTGATTTTGATGACAGGCAGAGTCTAGATTAGAAGTCTCTAAACTGTTTCATTGTATATACCTACAAATTTAAAAAGGGGGGGTAGGATGTACTTGCAACATATTGTATTTATTTATAAATTATGCAATATTTTTCAGTATTGTTTTATATACCATAAAATGTATATAGAAGAAACAATTTTTAAATGAAATAAAGAAGACAAATTAGATTTTTTTTTTGGTACCGGAGATCGAACTCAGGTCCTTGTGCTTGCAAGGCAGGCACCAGAACCACTCAGCTAAATCCCTGGCCCACAAATTAGATTTTAAAAGTACTTAATTGATGATACAGAAAGCTTTTTTGTACTTATTAAAATATTATTCTAGCTACTAAGGAGGCTGAGGCAAGATGACTGCAATTTGGAGGTCAGCCTAGGTAAATTAGTGAGAAGCCATCTCAAAATAAAAAAATAAAAATGTTTTGGGTTGTAGCTTACCAATACAGGGACCTATGGTTCAATCTCCAGTACAGAAAAAAGAAAAGAAAACAAAAACCAAAAAACCAAAAAACAAACAAAACACACATAAAACAACAACAAAAAAGAAAATAATTGGCTAACTGGCTATTATACATTTTGCTAATCACAAAGGCTTCACATTATCATCACCAAGTAAAATACACATTCATAATAAAATCCACTGTTTATCACAGCTGATATAAACCCATACTGGAAACAAGTCTTCCTGATATTTATGGATCTACTGCTTATAGATGGGTTCATCACTGTTTCCATGTTATAACGTGGCACCCGTTCTACAATGAGAGAGATGTTATTATTTCTGCCATTATCTTCTGTCCTGTGTACTGATTACTACACACAGTATTAATTTCAATGTGGAGGGTAATACAATACAGTATTTTTGTGGAGGCTTGTTTAACTGAATCTAGCTACTATAACTAGAAACACAATTCTATAATAAAATCATGGGAATGGCAAGGTGAGTGTACAAGCTGGATCTCCGTGTTTTCCCTCAGCATACCCAGAGCTCTGGGGCCAATCCTAATACAACGTCAATGCCAATACTACTAGTAAAACAAAATCTATTTTTAGATGAACAAATAAAGCTGCAATATATTCCTTCCATCCACTTCTTGTAACTCTAAGGTCTGTACATTGTTCTAGGAGATTGCTGATCAAGGTAACAAAGCTGAGTGGAGCTCACTGTGTTCACATACGCGAAGACATTAGAGTGCTCAGCTGTCATATCCCTGAAGGACAAAGTGATATGACAACAGTCCTGTTTTGCTCACTCTGTGGCCTGCACTGGCTTGCTTCTAAGTTTCAAGAAATTTTCACCCCATCAGGAGAGTTGCAGAGTAGGCATGAGGCTCAGTTTCTAAATAAATTCTTTTTTCAGTGTCTCTTATTTGTATGTTTTAAGGCTCATATTCTAAAATTTTTGCTCAAAGTGATACTACTCTAGAAAATGATGAAAAATTACTACTTCCAGAAGGGAAGTATAATTTACACATCAAGAAGGGAGGAAAGAAACCTCTACTGAATGCTTACTATGGACTATGTGCTCTTCATGTGCATTTATTTCATTCTCACAGAAAATTTATGAGGCTGATAAAATCTCTGTTCCACAGATGAGTAAATGGGATCAGAAAGACAAGAGGCTAGACCAACGTTACAGAGGTGAAGATCACAGATCGAAACTCAGGTATTTCTTCTGACTTCATCATGTCTTCAGCAATGCTTATACAACAAGATGGAGTATAAGATTAGTTTTTAAAAGAGAAAATATTTGAGATGAAATGTGTAGCTTTGTTTAGCCTAAATTTTCAGATGGAAGCACACTGAAAAATCAGCAAAGAATGTAAAAAATATTCAAGGATAAGATCTTATATTTCTTACTGCCAGTTTAGAATATTGTATGCTCTATTTTAGCAATGACTTCACAGATAACATTTTAACCATTGTTCTCAACACCCATTAGAAATGCTAAAGCAGATAAACTCTTTTCCTCTGAAACTGTGTGTTTAAGATATAACCAAAAAAGGAAGAAAATTAAAGTAAAACTTTTGGCTAAAATGGGAATGAATGCTTTGTTAATATAACTCAAAGGCAATCTTTCAAAAAAAAAAAACATTTTCCCACAGAGCATGTTTTACAACTTCCTCCACCTACCATATTTATGGGCATCTCATGAAATCCAAGTACTGTACAGCATATTACCTCCCATTATAGCTTTGAACCATGACTGTCCAATGTCATGTTCTGATTAATTAGTGTACTCTTCAAGTAATCTCAGAATCACATTTAACTTCCTGTTGTGAAAATGGTGATGCTTCTCGGCCTTTTGGCTAAGATCAAGTGTGAAAATGGTGAAGGATTATTACATCACAGATTCACAAAAAGAAACAGTTCCAGCTGGATGTGGTGGTACATGCCTGTAATCACAGCAATCTGAGAGGCTGAAGCAGGAGGACCATAAATTTGAGTGCAGCCTGTGCAACTTGTGAGACCCTGTCTGTCTCTCTCCCTCTCCCTCTCCCTCTCCCTCTCCCTCTCTCTCTCTCTCACACACACACACACACACACACACACACACACACACACACACACA